ACAATGCTAATAATATGACTGGTATATATGAGGGTTTACAGGCTCAAATAAAAAAAAAATGCAGTGTTGCTTTATTTGCACCTTGTTTTGCTCATTCCCTAAATTTAGTAGGGACACATACAGTGAAATGCTGTTTAGAAGCAATAMATTTTTTTGGTGTTGTTCAAAAAATGTATGCATTTTTTGTGGCCTCAACACAAARATGGAATTTGCTTTTGACTGGYTTACAATCGGAAGAAAAAAATAAAATAATTGTTTTGAAAACTTTAAGTAATACTAGATGGGAGTGTCACGCGGAGTCGTGTAAAGCTATTACCTTAAATTATGACCAAATTATATGTACATTAACCGATATTTTTGAAAATGTTAACGAAAAACAAGAAAATCGTCATGCTGCTAAATCAATMAAAAATAAAATGATAAAGTTTAAAACAGCTTTTATGGCAGTTATGTGGAGTGAAATTTTATCGCAATTTAACAGTGTTAGTAAATACCTTCAAAAACCGGGGATAGATTTATTTACAGCTGTAAATTTAYTAAAAGGATTAAAAACTTATGTCAGTTCATTAAGAGAGAAGTCTGTATATTTTGAAAACAAAGCAAAGGAATTATCAACTAATATTTTGCCCTGTGGAGAAAAAATTGTTAGAAAAAAAAAATTMTCGGATGGTACAATAGAAGGAAATTCAAACTTATGCGAAATAAGAAAGTTGGAGGTTGAWACTTTTTATGTTATTATTGATTGTTTAGTTACTGAACTTGATAAAAGATTAAACGCATATGATAATCTTTGTAGTATTTTTGGGTTTATTACAAAATTCAGTTCACAATTATTATCAGAGACTTCTGCCGACATATTCATTAGCACATTTAAAGATGATATTGATACAATAAATATAAGACAAGAGATTGTGCACTTTTCTAGTTATGTAATGCAGTTAAATTTACCAATAATTTCTCCTCAAAATATTTACTTATATGTAYATGAAAATAATTTAAAASAAGTCTTTCCAAATGTGTAYATTTCTCTACGACTTTATTTAACTTTGCCAGTTTCGAATTGTGAAGCAGAAAGAACAAATTCAAAATTAGAGCTAATTGAAAAYGCCAGAAGAACGTCCCTTCACCAAGAAAAATTAAATTCACTCGTTCGTCTATCCGCTGAAAGGGATATAACTAATACACTTGATTTTTCAGATCTAATTAAAAAATTTAGTGAACTAAAACCTAGAAAAAAACCATTGTCTTAAATAATTTAACAAATAATTTCTTTAATTATTATTTATTTTTATTATTAACATTGATTTACATTTACTATGTTGAAAACTTCATTGCCACTTTAACTTTGTACACAATGTACATGATGTATATAAGTAAACATTTGTTTGAATTAAAAACTGTACCAACACTTCTTTATTTTTATATTTTTATTTTTTATTTCATAGTTTTATTTATATTAATTGCCATTAAATAATTACTTATAGSCTTATTATGGTATAATTGATTCATAATCTTATAAAATAAATTGAATATAAAAAATCTATATAAAATAAAGACTGCATTTATAATTTAAGTTGATAATTTAGAATTTAGATAATWATTAATTTTGAGGCCCCATTAGAAAATTTGACCCGGGCCCCAAAATTCCTAAGTTGGGCTCTGACGACACTGTATGGAAAAAAAAAGAGTATTGACAATTCTCCATTTATGGAAAATAAACGGCAACCTCCTCAAATTCATAAAAAACTTCTTAGCAGACCGAACATTTAGTGTCAAAGTCAACTATAAGACCTCATCACCACACACCATTGAAAATGGACTTCCACAAGGGTCTGTACTTAGTATCACTCCCTTCCTGGTAGCAATAAACAACATATGCAATAACCTACCTAAACCAGCCAAATTCATTCTCTTTGCCGACGACTGCACCATATATTGCAATGGATCACAAATTATAACTACTACTCTTTTCTTCCAACAAGCACTCGATTCTCTTGCCAGGTGGTCTTATGAAACTGGCTTCAGTTTCTCTTCCACCAAAACACAGTGTATCGTTTTCAATAAAAAGAA